TGTTATTAATTTAGTAAGTTGTCTTTATTAAATTTTTTCAAATGCTTTTTCTGTACTTATTGAAATAATCATGTTTATTTTCTTTCTGTAGGTTAAATGCAGTCAGTTATGTTAATGACTTTTTAAAATATTAAATCATCCTTCCATATCTGGGATAAACCCATTTGGTCATGATGTATTCTCTTGTTATGCACTGTCAGATTTAATTCAGTAGTATTTGTTTAGCATTTTTGCATTTGTTATTTTCTTTTTTTGTAAAGGCTTTGATTAATTTTAGTATTAGGGATTTGCTGGCTTCATGGCATGAGTTGGAATTACCTCTTTTTTTATTTTTCAAAGAATTTGTATAAAATTTAGATGGGCTGTTTCTTTATATTTTGATAGAATTGGCCTGTACAGCCATCTGGGCCTGATATTTTCTTTGTGAGTATATGTTTTAACTACTGGTTCAATTTAATAGTTAAAAGGCTATTCAGGCTACTTATTTCTTCTTGATTTAGTTCTGGTAAGATTTTTTTTTTTCTTTTGAAATTTCTCCATTTTAACTTAATTTTATGAAAGTGTTTCATATGGTTGTTCTTAGTATTCCATGTTCTTTTTAATCTTACTTTTAGTTGTTTTCCTGACTCCCAGAATTCTGACTAGCATATTTGTGTAATAGAGGTTTTATGTACTCTATTAATCTATCACCTTTTATTTCCTATCTGTAGTAGGGTGGAAGTCCAGCTGATCTTGTTTCTGTTTTCAGCCATCTTGAGTCCTTGCTGTAAATCGTCAAGCTGAATCTTTCATAATAAAAAATCTGTTTTGATTATGTTATTTCAGCATGAAAAATCTCTTATTCCTAGGGCAAACTACTAATTGCACAAGGTCAGTGATTTTCTAGGTAGCAAATATCCTCCTGTGGCGACTACAGCCATACTAATACGAACCGGCGTGCTCCTCTCTTGAAGGCACCATGTATGTCACTTTGTTTCTTTGCTCACACCCTTCTTGCTTCCCTGAATGAATTTCCTTCTCTGTTCCCAAGGTCCTGTCAAGCTTTCAAAGCTCTATTAAAATTTTACATTCATAGAGAAACCTCTGATACTTCAGTTAAAGATTATTTCTTCCTTCATCATTTTGGGTTCTACTCATCTCTTTTTCATGTGTGGGTTTTGTTTTTTTTTTCCCCTAAATTCTCCACAGGCAGGACATTTATTGTACCCTTTCTTTGTTTTGTCTTTTTTCTAGAGTCGTCTTCTCTTTAGGAAGTAACGGTTTTATTCTCAACCTTATTTTTCCTTGACTATAAATAAATATTCAAAATGTATTAATTGGGGCGCCTGGGTGGCGCAGTCGGTTAAGCGTCCGACTTCAGCCAGGTCACGATCTCGCGGTCCGGGAGTTCGAGCCCCGCGTCAGGCTCTGGGTTGATGGCTCGGAGCCTGGAGCCTGTTTCCGATTCTGTGTCTGCCTCTCTCTCTGCCCCTCCCCCGTTCATGCTCTGTCTCTCTCTGTCCCAAAAATAAATAAAAAACGTTGAAACATTCATTTATTTTATAGCTATACCTCAGTGAAGCTTGATGGTAATTTATAATGCGCTATTTCAGGAGCATTTCTCTGAGCATCCACTATATGCTTTTGTAGCAACTCTGAAAACAAGTTATTCTCTGGTCCAGGGGTTGCAGGTCACATGGCTGCAATGTCAGGGTGGCAGCGTGCATGTGTGACTCGGGTCATGTGTAAGAAAAGGGAGTGGAAGAGCCTAGACAAACTAAAGAATATATGTTCTCTCAAAGGAATTCAAACCAAATTCTTCAGGTTCCAGGGGAGCCCTGCTTTGTGACCTCTTACTCTAGCCTCCTTTTACTGTCAAACTCTACTACTCTGTTTGAAAACGTGTTACAAGCCAGAGCACATATTAGAATACCCAGGATAAGATTTAAAAATTAAATATTTAAGAAGTTGGAGACTAAATAATTTATGCTGCAATGAATTTTTTGTGACATGAACTAAAGTTAAAGTTCTCCCAAATAGATGTATGTAAGGTAATTTTTATGGGAGTTTCATGAGGCAAAAAACCTCTTTAAACTGTCTTGTTCACTGTGCATGCCACACTTACCACAATGTCTGACACACTATAGATATTTAGTAAATATTTGAGTGACTGGCATCTTTTTTAAGTTTTTTTTTTTTTTCTTTCCAAAATTTTGGCAGTTCTGTACTATATGTAATATAACCACTTGGTGGCGCTAACCTCATTTTTAAACCCTGAAAGGTATTTTTATACTTCTGCACACCACGATTACTATTCTTCATATACACACGGAATGAGTTGTAATAAATCGTGGACAGTGTGAATCATTATTAACATCGAAGGAGAAATATCATTAACCGCCGGGTTTTTTTACCTTTTAAAAAAAAAAAACCTTGAGATTTGATTGATTATACAAAAAACCACACATTTAATGTATATAATTTGGTGAGTTTGGAAGGAGTTTTGTTTCTGATTCTTTAGAAAATGTTTCTAAAGTGATGAGGGGCGCCTGGGTGGCGCAGTCGGTTAAGCGTCCGACTTCAGCCAGGTCACGATCTCGCGGTCCGTGAGTTTGAGCCCCGCGTCAGGCTCTGGGCTGATGGCTCGGAGCCTGGAGCCTGTTTCCGATTCTGTGTCTCCCTCTTTCTCTGCCCCTCCCCCGTTCATGCTCTGTCTCTCTCTGTCCCAAAAATAAATAAAAAACGTTGAAAAAAAAAATTTATAAAGTGATGGATTACAGATTTCAAGTCCTTAGGTCATAGTAGTAGTTGAGCCTGTCTGTTAGAGCCTCAGCATCTAGCACTGGGTACGTGGTATATCTTTAATGTGTGAATTTGAAAGAATGTGTGAATGAGTATAAATTTTAACTTCTTCTGACTTCACTTCTACCAACCCACTCCCAGATAATTTCACCCCACATAATTTTGGTCCAAGATAAGGGGGAACTGAGTCTTAACAAAGTTTTTAGTTAACCACCTTTATGAAATTTCTTTTAATCATTAAAATTTTTTATCCAAATTTATGAAAGAACTGTGATTCAGAACAAAATACATATTGAAATAAATCAGCAATATTAATTGGATTTTAGATTTCCTGTTACTTTTTTTCTTATTTGTCAATTATGGGATAGTTTTGAGTACAAGATATTATTAGAGAGGAATAACAGAAGCATGGTTGTATCATTATATTTGTTTGAGAATTGGGTGTAAGATTATGTTCCCTAGTGGAGAAAGCAGTCTTACTAAGGAGTTTTTCAAACATACAGGAGGAAAAAATTGAAGAATTGGTGGATTTCGCAAGACCTCAAAAGCCTCTGGCAACATGAAAAGTAGAAGAGTATAAGAATTTAAAAGAGAAGATAATTGAAAGTTTTTCTTCTGAAATCAAGCAGGATGTAAATAGTTTACTAAATTGTAGAATCATAAGTGAATTAGCCTTTTAGAAAGACACTAATTCCAAAATAGCATTTAATCATAGGGGCACCTGGGTGGCTCAGTCAGTTAAGCGTCCAACTATTGATTTTGGCTTAGGTCATGATCTCACTGTCATGAGATTGAGCCCCAAATCAGGCTCCGCAAAGAGTGTGGGGCTTACTTGGATTCTCTCTCTCGCTCTCTGCCTCCCCATCCCGTTTGCGCTTGCTTGAGCATGCACGCACTCTGTCTCAAAATAAACATTAAAAAAAAGAAATAGTATTTAATGATAACATAGTAATAAGGTATAGAAATAGGACTAAGTTGTATTTTTAAAAATAATTTACCAAATTTAGTTCAACTTTACAGTTAATGTTGCTGTGGTATTCACAGTAATCGTCTAAGGTTCTTTCCAGCTCTATAATCTCAACACTGTAGGGGCTAGAGGGAATACGGAAGAAGCCCTTGTCCATAGTGGGTTATAATCTGGTTAGAGAGACCACATGTATGTACAGAGCCAGCCTAACATGGTGGCTAAGTGTACAGATTCTAGAACCAGACTCTGCCTCTTGCTTAGCTCTGTACCCTTTGGGCAAGTTACTTAATTTCTTTGTACCTTAGCTTCCACAAATGTAAAATGAGAATAATATTACTCCTTCTTCATAGGTTGTTGAGAGAATTAAAAGAATTAATACATATGAAGTGCCTAAAAAGTACCTGGCACATAGTAAGGAGCTATCTGAATGTTTTTTCACTCTGATTAGAATGTAAGGTCCACTCATTTTTTTAAATAGTTAACGGCTAAATGACAGCACTGTAAAGACTATATATGACTGAGATGAAAAAATGCGTGGACCATGTATATCCTTTTTAGGAAATCAAAGAAGGGTAGAAATAGCAGTTGTTGGATAATTTCTCTAAAAGCCACATAGGTAAGTTGGAGCTTGTGCTGGGTTCTGAAATATGGGTTAAATTTGGATAGGTAGAAATGAATGTAGGAAGACGTAAATAGGAGGGAAGACAAGTTCTGTTGGTTTCATCAGCTGTGTTTAGATCAGGAAAGATTGGCCTTGCTACCCTAACTGGATTGGTTTCTTGATGTTCTGAGTTTATTTGGTTTCCTAGAATTCTCAACTGCAGAATTGCAGTAAATTCCTAAAAAATATATTAGAATGGAATTAAACATGTTTATTTAAAAAATTTTTTTAAAAATGTTTATTTATTTTTGAAAGAGAGAGAGAGAGAGCAAGCACAGGCAGGGGAGGGGCAGAGAGAGAGGGAGACACAGAATCTGAAGCAGGCTCCAGGCTCTGAGCTGTCAGCACAGAGCCTGACGTGGGGCTCTAACTCAAAAACTGTGAGATCACTATCTGAGCCAAAGTTGGATGCTCAACTGACTGAGCCACCCAGGTGCCTGAATTAGACATGTTTATTATGCTTATGTTAAGACTATATGAAATAAATTTTGAAAACTATTAGCTTTATTCATATTTTGGAGGGCATTGTCATCATTTAAAAGCTGCTTTTTAAACCATAAATTTATAATATTTTGCTTTTATATTTTATAGGTTATTAACAATGCTTGTGCTACCCAAGCTATAGTCAGTGTGTTACTGAACTGTACCCATCAAGATGTCCATTTAGGAGAGACATTGTCAGAGTTTAAAGAATTTTCACAAAGTTTTGATGCAGCTGTGAGTATAATCATATTATTCCTAAAATGCTCCATTTTTGATAGTTTGTGATAATTCTTTTTTTAATAGGCTACTTTAAAAATTATTTTAGATGAAAGGTTTGGCACTGAGCAATTCAGATGTGATTCGACAAGTACACAACAGTTTTGCCAGGTAAAGAGACTTTTTGTTAAATAAACACTTTCTTTCATGCTTGTCTGTGTCTCACTATTTTTTTCTTCACTGTAGACAGCAAATGTTTGAATTTGACGCAAAGACGTCCGCAAAAGAAGAAGATGCTTTTCATTTTGTCAGTTATGTTCCTGTAAACGGAAGATTGTATGAATTAGATGGATTAAGAGAAGGACCGATTGATTTAGGTACTCTGGTTCCTGTTCCTGGTATTTCACTTTTGACAAGGAAAAAAGATTGGGTATTCTCCTTCATTTTAACCACAGTACTGCTTAGATTTTGAAGGGGAAGGTAACTGTGAGGTAGTATAATGTCATCAAAGTCTTAAGTTTTTCATTACTTTATGAAGTTAAATAACACAGGAAGGACATGTTGCTGATCTCTACATTTTCTCTGTTGGCTTCTATCTGGTCACCCATTCTGTATTCCTTAGAGCCTATCAAATATAAAGGAAGTAAAAGATCAAACAGAACAGTCAGTTTTGCTATAAAACTGGTAGCTATGCTAAAACTTAAGATGAAAAAGAGGATTAAAACAACTGGATAAAATTGGTTTTGCATTATGTGTGAATTTCAGTTTTTAATTTATAGTTATTATGGTTGGGAGTCAGGATTATTTTGCTACTAGTACGATGATGATTTTTCTTTGCTCTCAGTTTTATCACTAAAATGGAGGTAGTTATTCTTATTTCACAAAGTTGTGAATTTTAATAGGATAACTTCCTGATTCGTGACTTTTTTGAACAGTTGTTCAGCACTTACTAAGTGACACAATAATGTGGTAATGCAAATTATATTAATGCTTTTTACCCTTACCATTACTAAGAAAATAAGAATTGAAGCTTAACATAGTTAAGCTTATAAGGATAGTTAATCCTAAAAGGATTTTTACCATCCTGAATTTGCCAAAATTTTTATAAAAAGATCTTTTAGACTAACTTTTGAAATAATTTTAATATTGATTTTATTTGATTTAATTGCTTTCAAATTTCTTTCTAGGTGCATGCAATCAAGATGACTGGATCAGCGCAGTGAGGCCAGTCATAGAAAAAAGGATACAAAAGTAAATGCTCAGCTAATCTTACTAGCATAGTATTCTGGGATTTAAACTTGTTTTTTCAACTTTTATTATTATTTTAGCAATGCTTGTTGAACATCTACTTTGGATTGGATTAATGTGTTCAGGAAGAAATCTCTAAATTCTACATAGTAATATGTCATCTTTATAAAAGTTAGACATGCAGATCTCCATTTAGATATTTTGTATAGTTTTGTAGAGTTTTGTTTTTAGGCATCTATTTTTTTTTATTAAATTAAAACTTTTATTTTGAGATAATTATATATTCATATTCAGTTATAACTATACTACAGAGAGATCCCATGCACCCTTAATCCGCAGTGGTAACATCTGGCAAAACTGTAGTCCAGTGTCAACAGCCAGAATATTGACATTGATATAGTCGAGGTATAGAATGATTTAATTACCACAAGGATTTCCTCTTTTAGAGCCACCGATGTTTCCCCCTGCTGCCACTCCTCCTGCCTCCTTAATCCCTAGTTTTATAATTTTTTGTCCGTTAAAGAATGTTGTATAATTGGAATCATACGATATATAAACTTTTTGGACTGGCTTCTTTCACTCAGCACAATTTTCTGAAGATTTATCCAGGTTGTTAAAAGTAGTTCAGTCTTTTCTCTTGATGGGTAATAGCTATGGTATGGATATACCTTTTTTTTTTTTTTTGGTCCATTTACCCATTGAAGGACATGTGGATTGCTTTCAGTTTTTGGCTATTATGAATAAAGCTGCAATAAACCTTTGTACAGATTTTTGTGTGAACATAAGTTCATTTCTGTGGGATAAATGCCCAAGAGTGCCATTGCTGAGTTGTAAATGCATGTTTAATTTTTTTTTTTTTTTAACATTTATTTATTTTTGAGACAGAGAGAGACAGAGCATGAACAGGGGAGGGGCAGAGAGAGAGGGAGACACAGAATCTAAAACAGGCTCCAGGCTCTGAGCTGTCAGCACAGAGCCTGACGCGGGGCTCGAACTCACCGACCGTGAGATCATGACCTGAGCCGAAGTCAGACGCCCAACCGACCAAGCCACCCAGGCGCCCCGCATGTTTAATTTTTTAAGAAACTGCCAAACTCTTTCCCAGAGTGGCTGTACCATTTTACATTCCCACCAGCAATGTATGAGTGATCCAGTTTCTCCGCATCCTTACTAGCATTTGGTTTTGTCAAAACTTTTTATTTTAGCTATTCTAGTAGGTGGATAGTGATGTTTCATTGTGGCTTTGATCTGCATTTCTCTAATGACTAATGATGTTGAAAATCTTTCCATGACTTTTGCCTATTTTGTAATTGGATTGTGTGTGTGTGTTTTTTTTTTTTTTTTTTTTTTTTTTGACTGTTGAGCCTTGAGGTTCTTTACATATTCTGGATAGTACTAGTCCTTCATCAGACACATTGCCTGCAAATATTCTCTCCTAGTATGTAACCTGTCCCCTAATTCTCCCACACAGTCTGTCACAGAGCAAAAGCTCTTAATCTCAGTGAAGTTTAATTTATGAATCTTTTCTACTATGAATTGTATTTTTGTTGTCAAGTCTAAGAATTCTTTGTCTAGCCATAGATCCTAAAGATTTTCTCTTGGTCTTTTTTTCTAAAAAGTTTATATTTTAACAGTTTACATTTAAGTCTGTGATCTACTTTGAGTTAATTTTTGTATATGTTGTAAAGTAAGTCTAAGTTCATTTTGTTGCCTGTACATGTCCAGTTGCTCTAGCACCATTTGTTGAAAAGGCTATCCTTCCTGTAGAAATTTGGGTAGAATTGTAAAAAACCAGTTTGAGTATATTTGTGTTGGGTATTTCTGGGTTCACTACTCTGTTCTGTTGACCTATTTGTCTGCTCTTTGCCAGTACTACACAGTCTTTTTTCACCTTTATTTTTAATTTTTTTGAATGTTTATTTTGAGAGAGGCAGAGGGAGTGCAAGCATGAGTGGGGGGGGGGCAGAGTGGGGGGGGTAGAGAGAGAATCCAGGCAGGCTCTGTGCAGAGCCTGTCTGACAGCACAGAGCCCAACATGGGGCTTGATCCCATGAACTGTGAGATCATGACCTGAGCCAGAATTAAGAGTTGGATGCTTAACTGACTAAGCCACCTACATGCCCCTGTACTACACAGTGTTGATTACTCTATAAAGTCTCAAAATCAGATAAACTGACATCTACAACTTTATTCTTTTTCTTCAAAATTGTTTCAGCTATTATAGTTCCTCTGTCTTCTCATATAAATTTTAGTATAATCTTGTTCATATCCATAAAAATTCTTGCTGGGATTTGGTTACGAATTGTGTCAAACATTTATATCCATTTGGGGAGAATTGGCATCTTTTCTATGATGAGTCTTCCAGTCTATGAACATGGTATGTCTCTCTATTAACTTTGATCTTCTCTAATTTATTTCATCAGCATTTTGTAGTTTTCAGCATACACATCCTGTACATGTTTTGTCAGATTTACAGCCAAGCATTTCTTAGTCTTTTGAGTGATTACAAATAATAGGATTTCTTTGATCATTGTTAATATGTAGAAACACAGTTGATTATTTTCTTTCTTTTTCTTGTATCCTTTGACCTTGCTGATCTTACCCACCAGCTTTAGAAGGTTTTTTTATGAGTTCCTTGGCATTTTCTACACAGATAATCATGCCATATGCAAATAAGGGCAGTTATGGATTTGTCTACTTTAAAAAAAATTTTTTTAAATGCTTATTTTTTTTGAGAGAAAGAGAGAGAGAGAGCGTGCACATATACACAAGCTGGGGAGGGACAGAGAGAGAGAGGAAATTCGAAGCTCAGTGCAGAGACTGACATGGGGCTCGATCTCACAGCCGTGAGATCATGACCTGAGCCAAATCAAGAGTCAGATCTTAACTGACTGAGCCATCCAGGTGCCCCAAGGATTTTATCAGCTTTATCAGTTTATCAGCTTTCCTTTACATATTTTGCAGGTCTGTTGTTTGGAGTTATAAACATTTGTTGCCATTTCTTCTTGGTGGATTGATCTTTTTATCATTACATAATGTCCCTTTTTAGTAATTTTCTTTGTTTTGAAATTTACTTTATCTCATAGTAATATAGCCAGTCTTGCTTTTTTATTTTTGATTAGTGTTTTCAGTCAAGTTGAGATTTTCATCATTTTTAATATGACAAGTGATTACAGATTGAAACCTGGACATTTGGGGTTTTATGTAATAAGTGTCTGGACTCTGTATAATAAAACTTCTTGTTAGGCTGGTTTATATGGGCACTGCTCTGGCAGGGTATATCAGGGATGCTACCTCATTACTGCAAGTGGGAGTAGAAATTCAGGTTCCTCACTGTCCCTCCATTGATACCTAAGGTGGGAGGGTTTCCTTGTTATGCTAGGCAGGGATGGGAGTTCAGGCCCCTAAAAGAGTATCTGCTGATACCACCCTGGCTGGGTTTGCCTTGTTACTGCTTGCTATGTGGCTTCACTGTCGCTAAAGTGGGGGAGGCTTCTTCACCACGGTATGGTAGTGACTTCCCACTTGGCTTCCCATTTGGTCTCCTCTGGACACTGCACATAGGTGTCATTACACCCACAGGGATGAAAGTCCTATCTCCCTGCTCAGCCTTTGCTGTTGATAGGGTTGGGGCCACAGTTTTTCCACTGTGTTTAGCTCTGGTAGAGTGGTTATTGTCTAAAGGTGTTCTGTCTCATGAATTGCCCCTTTCCGATTTGGATAAGAAAGAGCAGACTTTTTTTGGTACTTCTTTTTGGTCTGTGCCTGTTGGCATTTCTTGGTTGCTGGCTTCTTCAAGTCTAGGATATACGAAGACAAATGAGATAACTCAAGGAGTGTACCACTGTGTCATTTTTGGGTCCTAGTTCCCTAGCTTGCCTGCCTTCTCTCCACCTTTCAGAATTTTCATTTTTCCTTGCCTTAAAAAAAAAAAAAAATATATATATATATATATATATATGTATGTATATATATGTACATATATGTGTATATATGTATACATATATACATGTATATATTATGTCTAGTATTTTAGTTTGTTATTTTCTTAGTGGGAGGAATAGGGAAATGGAAGTTCCGTAGCAGTTTTATAAACAACATTTGTACGTAGTTCAAAGCACTATAGGTTATATTGGGCCATGTGCTTTCCAGTGGATAGAATTTTGTATGAGAAAATGTTAGAGGTGAATAATGCAAAGACAGGCTTACATTTTCTATATACATCTTGAATAAGCACCATTCATGTAATATTGGCAGTAATTTTTCTACTGTCAATCCCTATCATAAACAAGCTTATATCATTGTGATACTCTGGTATCAGAGTAGCGAAAATAGCATTCGGAAGTTTTACAACAGGATATAATCACATTAATAAAATACATAAATATTTCACAACTTATTTATAATGAAATATAAAGTATAAAGTGAAATTTAAAAATATATTAATTAAAAATAGCAACTATATAATGACTTAGAAAAAAGTGTAAGTTAGGAATGTGGTTAATTACCATAAAAATGCCAGTATAATTAATCTAACAAATGTGAGGTCTTAGTTTAGTTATTTTTTTCTGAGGTCAGAACATTTAAAAGTTTGTGATTAAATTTAGCCAGGTGTTTGTTGTTGTTGTTGTTTTTTTTTACTGCAGTTGTACCCTTTCATATATGAAAGCCTTTTTTAAATGTCTATTTTCATTGTTAGCCGTTGATAGATTTGTGTTTATCCTAGAGAGCCATAGGGTAATCACAATAGATTATTTTAATTGTAGTAGTGTTACAATTCTTTATTACATTATAAACTTTAACTTTTTTGTAGGTACAGTGAAGGTGAAATTCGATTTAACTTAATGGCCATTGTGTCTGACAGAAAAATGATATATGAACAGAAGATAGCAGAGTTACAAAGACAACTTGCTGAGGTTTGTGGCCATGTTTTAAATTTTTTTTTTGTTTGTTAAGCATTTATTTATTTTTGAGGGAGAGACAGAGCATGAGTGGGGGAGGGGCAGAGTGAGGGGGAGACAAAATCTGAAGCAGACTCCAGGCTCTGAGCTGTCAGCACAGAGGCTGATGCGGGGCTTGAACCCACGAACCATGAGATCATGACCTAAGCCGAAGTTGGAGGCTTAACCAACTGAGCCACCCAGGCACCCCTTCTGGCCATGTTTTTAAGTGCAAAGTTCTAGTTTAGTTATTTTAGGGAAAGTATTCTTTATCTCTCTTTCTTGCTCTACTTCCTTTGTTCTCTCTCTCTCTCTCTCTCTTTCCCTCCCTCCCTACCTCCTTCTCTTTCTTCATTCCTTCCTTCCTGATTTAATCAAGTGTCCTGAGTGGTGATTAAGAGAATACACTCTGGAGTCAGGTTGCCTAGATTCAGCTCCTGGCTTTGTCACTTAATGGATGCATGAATTGGAATATTTCTTTGTGCTTCAGTTTCTTAAGGTCAAATGAAAATAGTATTTACCTTATAAGGCTGTTGTGAGGATTAAATGAGATGATATATGTAAGCCACTTAAAACAAATATTAAATGGATATAAGTATTAGCAATTAACTAATTTCATTATATAATTAAGCAAGTTAGAATATATTTCTCAAAGAATTAATTGGGTACATTTAGATACATGTAATCTTTACTAGCCTATATGATTGATTATGTAGTAAATATGATTGGAGAAGATAATTAGTAATAGTACCTTTTTTACATTCTTTGATCCCATATTCTTAAGAACATATTTAAGCATATTTATTTTATAGCTGAACAAAAGATTATAGCAACACAGCATATTGCAGTATAGATTGTTTTTAGTTAAAAATGCATATGTGTTATTGTAGAACATAGAAATATGGATGGTACTACTTAGGGCTTTTGTCCTTTAATATTGCAGTTAGTAGGCTGGAATTCTGTCACCAATATTAAGAGTAAAATTTGGAAATAATTGTACTATGTATATAATTTTAAAATATTTTGGATTCAAGCCTCAATCATTAGGGTATGGTGTTTTTTTTTCTTTACCCTAAGGAGGAACCCATGGATACAGATCAGGGTAATAATATGTTAAGTGCTATTCAGTCAGAGGTTGCCAAAAATCAGATGCTTATTGAAGAAGAAGTACAGAAACTAAAAAGATATAAGGTATGTTTTCCTTTTATTTGTTCCTTTATTGTTTTAATATAGAGTAGTATATTTTAACATGAAAGTATATTGAATACTTGATTGTTTTCCCCCATCAATTACTAGTTTTCAGAATAATGAGTTGATTCCGTGGCACCCCACAAAGGGTAACTCGTGAGATTTCTTTCTTTTTAATTTTTTTTTGAAGTGTTGTTATGAACAGATTTTTAAACTGATTTGATGCTTCAGTTCACTGCAGTTATGGATGATCAGATTATTTCATCTTTGGCCATTAGGATCAACTTCAAGCTGTCTCCTAAGTTCTTTTGATGGGATTCTCTTCATCTCTGATAGTTTCCTTGCTTTCTAGCATGACTAGATGTTTCAGAATCACCTTGTAGATCTCCTGCTTCAGACTTGGATTAGCCATTTTTTCAAGAAACTCTGTGTCCTATTGTTGGGAAATGGTATTTAGAAACCACTCTTTGGGTACACAGTGATACCAATTGGTCATTATGTCTAGGCCTTTTCAGAGCTAAGAAATACATTTTTGTTTACTGCTTGTTTTAGTTTGAAGAGAAAATATAATGTGAATTCAGTATTCAAATTTAGAATTAAAGGACTTGGGGTGCCTGGTTTGCCCAGCTGGTAGAGCATGGGACTCTTGATCTCAGGGTCATGAGTTCAAGACCCATGTTGCATGTGGAGCCTACTTAAAAAAAAAGAAAGAATTAAATGGCTTTATACTTGAAATTAACTATTTGCATCTTCTCCCTCTCTCTTTTTTAAATGCTTATTTTGAGAGAGAGAGAGAGAGAGACAGAGACAGAGACAGAGAGAGAGAAAGCATGTGAGTACATACATGAGTAAGGGAGGGGCAGAGAGAGAATCCCAAGCAGGCTCCACGCTGTCAGCGCAGAGCCCTATGTGGGGCTCCATCCCGTGAATCCTGAGATCATGACCTGAGCCGAAATCAAGACTCGGGTGCTCAACTGACTGAGCCACCCAGGCACCTCACATTTCTCTCTCTTAAGCTGAAAATCTTGATTCCTAACAATATTAACGTAATTACTTATTTGCTTTATGCTGTATATATATAGTATATTCATGTATAAGCAAATAATTACTTGCTTTATGCTCTATATATATAACATGTGCATATATTTGTAAGTATATATAAGTGTATATATATAGAGGTACAGAAACAGCAATAGTAGTAAGTAGCATTAATAACAACTGAAAGTTTTTTCTTAGGATATATCCCATTTTGGATATATAATCAAACTACTATGTTTTTAAAGTTATTTCAGAAAATTTTCTCTTGGTGTGATTCTATCACCAGTTTGGTACACAGTTGGGTTCATTTATTTTATTTTCCTTTTTAATTTTTTAGGGTGTTAAAATTTTTTTTATTTAATTTTAATTATGGCAAACATTTATGTAATTGAAAGGCAAATATAAAGCAATGTGATCTTTAATAATGTCATTCTCCTTCATTTGCAATCTGATAAGCTTTTTTCAGAGACAGTAAAAAGTGTGAAGGGAGCTCTGAATTTTGTGTGAGTTTGGAAATGGTAGTTATATTATTTCTCATGTGTATCATAGTAGGAAAAGCATTGGTTTTCATTTGAATCTCACTTTGAAGGCAAGGATTGTCTTTTTTAAAATTTTTAATTGATCATCACAGTGTTAGCATAGTGCTTTGCATCATATTTAACAGTCTGCAAATAACTGTTAAATAAAATAAGTGAACCTGGAACTAGTAAGATTTCTTTAATTTTTTTTTCAACGTTTATTTATTTTTGGGACAGAGAGAGACAGAGCATGAACGGGGGAGGGGCAGAGAGAGAGGGAGACACAGAATCGGAAACAGGCTCCAGGCTCCGAGCCATCAGCCCAGAGCCTGACGCGGGGCTCAAACTCACGGACCGTGAGATCGTGACCTGGCTGAAGTCGGACGCTTAACCGACTGCGCCACCCAGGCGCCCCAAGATTTCTTTAGTTGGAGGGGCTGGCTCGAGTATTCCAGGCAGGAAAAAGGTGGGCCAAGTTCATGGAGACAGGGAGGTAAGGAATAAAAGCTTGAATGTTTATCTTCCATTTTATGTGGTACACAAAATAACTACCCACCACTTATGCATTCTTATGCAGGATTATTCCACAATTAACCAAGTTTTAATATTAGCCTAAAGTAAAACACACACTTGGTTTTCAGAATCTCTACCTGCTACACTGTTGGAGAATGCTTTGTTCCAAAAGGTAAAAATGATTCTCCTACTGATATAAAATGAGCATATGTTAAGATTTTATTAAATTCATTATTTAATTTGAGGAACCTGTAAGATGTCACAGCTAGTTCAAGTGAGAAGTCAAGAAGCTCAAGTTTATCTGAAGGAATATTGAAATGAATTTACTAAAGATGGAAACTTTTCTCTACGGGAGAAGGGAAATAAATTGCTAGACAGAATATTTAATAGCTTAATGGCAGTGAAAAACTTGAATTGGGTAACTTGGGAGAGGTGTCCTAGACAATGCATAGTTTTCCTTTGAAGTACAGGTCTTTCCCTATAGTCCACCCTATTTTGATTAAAAGTACTTCAGAGAAAAATTATTCTTGATCACAGAATAAAGCTGCTTTCATTAGGCTTTCCTGATTATTTGCATAGTTAATAGTAGCAAATAGCAAGTTAATTTACCACGTGCGCCTTCTTAAGTTTGCTTTCGTAAGTTAAGTTTTCATAAATAATTTTAGACTTTTAAAAGCCTCTGCTATTTGCTAAGCCAAGGGTGGGAAACCATAACCCAAGAAACTCCTCGTATTTTTTATTGTATTAGTCTTTATTCTCAGTGGGGATATAATCTCATTATTTCTAATATTTTTTTCTCATGAGAATGGAAGATTTTTTTCCCATTTCTATTGAGTAGGTTGCAAAAATTACAATATTAGGAACTTAGTAGAAATGTAAAGTTAGTGTGTTTTGATATTTGTTTTACTTTCAGATCGAAAATATCAGAAGGAAGCATAATTATCTGCCTTTCATTATGGAATTATTAAAGACTTTAGCAGAACACCAGCAGTTAATACCACTAGTAGAAAAGGTAAGTTACTGGTGAATACTTATTAGATTTAGATTCCCCCAAAACAGTGTATTGGTTTTTTTTTTTTTTTGGCTTGAGTAGAGGTGAAATTTGTTGAAGGATTTTTATTTTATTTTTTTGGCTTTCTCCTATTGTTTTATATTCTAGATAAGCATTAATTCAACCTGATATTGTAAAATAAAAATAAGGAATTGGCCTACTGCTTAGCCTTCCAGAATCCTTAGTGTTACGAACTCAGAATGTACCTAATATATTAGAATAAAATTTAAAACATTTTCCTTTCTTTAAGCTGAAAGCAACATTAAAAAAATATATATATATATTTTTTTTTATTAAATTTGCTTATTAAAAACAAATTTGTTTATAAATTTTGTTTATTAAATTTGTTTATTAAAAACATTTTTAATGTTTATTTATTTTTGAGAGAGAAAGACAGCGTGTGAGCAGGCGAGGGACAGAGAGAGAGGGAGACACAGAATCTGAAGCAGGCTCCAGGCTCTGAGCTTGTCAGCAGAGCCTGACTCAGGGCTTGAACTCATGAACTGCAAGGTCATGACCTGAGCTGAAGTTGGACGCTTAACTGACTGAGCCACCCAGGTGCCTCTGAAAGCAAATTTTTAGTGTTAATAATTGAGATAATAGATTCTTTGTTCTTTAGTTTAAGAAAAATTTGAATTATCGTAGAATTTAAAACTAGAATGGACATTGAAGGGGGAAAAAATAACCATAGACTAGACTAAGAAATAGGTTTTTTGTATTCATTCCTAAGCTAGTATTCTTTCCGCTGAAGAAAAACTAACAAAGGTTTGTGAAAAATTCTGATTTCTAAGATTTTTATCTTCAGAACAAGGCACTTAAATATTTATTGAATAAATGCAATGCAATTAAATTGTTTTTAAGTTTATACTGTAAATCAGTGTTTCTAAAAGTGACCATCACTGGATACTCTTTAAAATACATGTTACCTGGCCCCTCCCCAGATATTCTGATATAGGGGAAGAAATCTTTAATTAGAGTTACCCCAGGTGACTCTAATGCAGCTTGTTTGTGTACCACGTTTTGAGAAACACTTTGAGAAGACAGTACTAGGCAAATAACATTTTGGATCATTAACTTAAGAGCAGAGCACATGGTAGGTATGTGTTTCTTATTAATTTTAAAGTATGAAGCAAAGAGGGGCGCCTGAGTGGCTCAAGTTGGTTGAGCGTCCAACTTCGGCTCAGGTCATGATCTCACGGTTTGTGAGTTTGAGCCGCGCATCAGGCTCTGTGCTGACAGCTCAGAGCCTGGAGCCTGTTTCAGATTCTGTGTCTCCTTCTCTCTGCCCCTTCCCCGCTCATGCTGTATCTCTCTCTGTCTCTCAAAAATGAATAAACGTTTAAAAAAAAAAAATTGGAGTATGAAGCAAAGATACATTTCAACCCAGCTTTTTTATATCATCATAAATTTTAAATTTTAAACGATACGAAGTGAAAGTTACGGTTTTTGTGTATACCTATTACCCAGATCCTGAAACGTGTGCTTCTGCTTTTAGCACTAAATACACAAATTATTGCAGAAAACTGCTAAGTCTTCCCCTTTTTAAAAAAATGTTTATTGGGGCGCCTGGGTGGCTTGGTCGGTGAAGCGTCCGACTTCGGCTCAGGTCATGATCTCACGGTCCATGGGTTCGAGCCCCGCGTCGGGCTCTGTGCTGATCGCTCAGAGCCTGGAGCCTGTTTTGGATTCTGTGTCTCCCTCTCTCTCTGCCCCTCCTCTGTTCATGCTATATCTCTCTCTGTCTCAAAAATAAATAAACGTTAAAAAATAAAAATTAAAAAAAATGTTTATTTATTTATTTTGAGAGAGAGAGAGGGAGAGGGAATCCCAAGCAGGCTCTGCACTGTCAGCACAGAGCCCATTTCGGGGCTCAATCTCAGGAACCATGAGTTCATGATCTGAGCCAAAACCAAGAGTCGGATACTTAATCGACTGAGCCACCACCTAGGGCGCCCTCAATCTTCTCTTTTCCATATAGGTTTTCTATTCATGTATCCCAGGGTATTAAAGCTATAAAAGTGTAAGATGGGAAACTGATTTTTAGATTTTCAGATTAACAATTAGGATTCTGTGAGTCTCCGAAGTACCTCCATAGTGTGTTCTTTGCATGCAACACTATGAAATATTTCACTATTAAAAATATTAAAATATTAATATGTAGGCTGTTATGTTAAATCATGTTACATCAGATTCTAAATATACATAAGTGTTATTAAAGGCCAGACAAATGTTTATTAGGGAAATTTAATATGTATGTATTTTGCTTCAAAATTGATCTGTGAATAAACTTTTTGGTGCAAATTAGGAAAACGACCATTCTTGTTTGATTTTAATGACCGTATATCCCCAGAGTTTTTTGAAAGTGTAGTTGGAACAGCTTTTCAGCTTTTCCATTGGAACTGTAATTTCTGAGTTGACGTTAGTTTGGACACAGGGTGGCAGTATGAGCGTCTGGTGTTGGTGGAACACCAGCTCAGTGTGTTCTTGTGTTTGCATCTGTTTTTTTGAGGGGGTAGTTATTGATCTTCTACCTCTTGCCTCTTTCTTCCAACTGTTTTTTGATTAATAATATTGCATAAGCAATATTGAGGTTACATTTATTCTTCGTGTATATGCAATATCTGTTATCCCCTAAGGAATTCCCCTAAAGGAATATATCCTTTAAGGAGTATTCCCTAAAGGAATTCAGATGCATTACTTGATAAAAATTTTTGAAATTTTAAAATCATTCATCATTCATCTAGTTGCAGCTTTATTCCTGGACCTCTCTTAAAGTCTAGAGATGTCTTCCCTTTTAAGCAATTCATGATATAGTTGGGGCAAGGAATAAACAACTATAGTATCGTGTTGAATAGAATTGTTCTGATAGGTGCCAGGATAAATTCATGCTGAAGATCAGGAGGGAGCACAGCGGGGCTCCTAAATAGCTATGCCCCTTGAAGTTTCACATCCACAAAATTTTAAATCTGTAGTTAGAATCAAATGTTTATTGTCTACCAATAAGTCCGCTTCCTTAAGCACAAATATATTTTGTTCATCTTATTTGGAAAAAGGAGTTATTGTATCATATTGAATATCACTTTCTGCTAATGTTACAAATGAAAGAATAAAGATGAGATTTTATAATTATATACAAGGGCTTTAATAGTGATAAATGCTTAATGGTAATACTTCTAAGAAAAATTACATGTAGAATTCAGAAATGGATAAGTTGAAGTTAACTAAGAAATTAGTAAGTTGAAATGCTCCTCCCCTCCCCCCCAAACCCCCATGCCAAGGGAAAGTAGAATAAAGGAACAAAGCATAAAAGGGGTAGAAGGAACCAAACAGGAAAGATGAGACTACTCTCGGCAGTGATGCTGAATGCCAAACCTGTCCAGGATCAGATCTCAGAGTAACTGAGACAGTTGCTTATAGCCTGTGATGGCATGAAAGTGTTTGGATTTGGAAATCTTTTTGTTTTACAGAATAATAAAGAAAAGATCAAGACTTTGTTCCAAGGGCATATGGCTATAATGAATTAGGTTAAGGTCTTGGCTTTTAAGTACTTTTGTTACATAAGGCTTCTACTCTTATCTGAGGTGTTGAATATACATTACATAAACACTGCTTAGGATGTAACCTAAAAATACATAGCTATAAAACTTATTTAACTTCTTCTTAATTTTATCTGAATTATATATTTTAATAATTATATGGACACACTCTGCATTATGTCTTTGCTCATTTAATTATGTTATAAAGTTTATGTCATAAACCAGTAAATTTATTTTTGTTAATCCAACTAAACATTCTGTATATTCAGGGGTCAATAAGGAAAAAATATGTATTTTAATTTCAAATTATATCTGAAGTTGAATTGTATTTTCATTATTTGGAAACAGAATTTCTGTTGTAAAAATTGTATACATATCAAATTACAAGTTATGCCTGTTAACTAAAAATGTTCATGCAAGCAGTTTTATTTTACATTTTATTTATTTTTGAGAGAGAGGGAGACAGAGCACAAGAGGGGGAGAAGCAGAGAGAGAGGGAGACATAGAATCTGAAGCAGGGTCCAGGCTCTGAGCTGTCAGCACAGAGCCCGATGTGGAGCTTGAACTCAGAAACCGTGAAATCATGACCTGACCTGAAGTCGGACACTTAACTGACAGAGCCACCCAGGCACCCCAGCAGTTTTATTTTATATGATACACATAACATATTTCCTCTTTTTTTTTTTTTAATTTTTTATTTATTTAAAAATTTTTTTTTTTTTTTTAACGTTTATTTATTTTTGAGACAGACAGAGACAGAGCATGAACGGGGAAGGGGCAGAGAGAGAGGGAGACAAAGAATCGGAAGCAGGCTCCAGGCTCTGAGCCATCAGCTCAGAGCCCGACGCGGGGCTCGAACTCACAGACCGTGAGATCGTGACCTGAGCTGAAGTCCGAGGCTTAACCGACTGAGCCACCCAGGCGCCCCAACATATTTCCTCTTAATATTCTAAGTCATAGCACTCTATTTTATCATAATAAAATACACTATTTGTATAATAATTATACTGCCTAATGCATTATAATTTTTTAAAATGCTTATTGATTTTTGAGAGAGAGAGAGAGAGAGAGAGAGAGAGAGAGAAACAGTGTGAGCAGGGGAGGGGTAGAGAGAGAGGGAGACACAGAATATGAAGCAGGCTCCAGACTCTGAGCTGTCAGCACAGAGCCCCGTCGTGGGGCTCAAACTCATAAACTGTGTGAGATCATGACCTGAACCCAAGTCGGACACTTAACCTATTGAGCCACAAGGGCACCCCTACCTAATGAATTATAAAAAAGATTGTAATTGTCCTAATTACCCTATTTTTAAATCTAAGGATGTTTTTTTCTTAGTTGTATAATAGCAAAACTCTATTCCTTTCTGATTCAAGTGGCATAGTGGAAAGACTATTATATTCTAGTACTCTGAATTATTCTCAAAGTATCATTTGAGGACCAGCAGAATTGGTATCATATGAGAATTTGTTAGAAACTTAGAACCTCAGTTATTTTTTTGAATCAGTTTGTATTATAACAGGGACCCCAGGTTATTGGTATGTACATTGAAAAGCACTGCTCTAGAACAGGTGTCTTTGACCTCTCGAGGTTTTATTTTCTTCTAGCTGTGTGACTTAGGTCAAGTTTGTTATCTGTAAGCTCTGTCTTATTCATCTGCTGAAAATAAAATAGAATTACTGGGTTCAAGCTATATAATTGTTATGAGGATAAATGAAATAAAGTGTGAGAGCATTTTTTGGGTTGTATAAATAAAGTTTATCAATACTACAGATACATAATCCCTTAGTGAGATGTTAAACTCATTTGTTCAAATATGCAGAAACTAATGTAAGATTTTTCTTTTACTCAATTTGAATGAGAAATGGACACATATGTAAATATATTGTTTTGAAATATTTATGAGTGAGTATGATTTTATGGAATTAGTAATTATGTATTTTTAGATCATTATAATAATACATTTTAACTTCAGATAGGAAAGAACTACAAACCAAACATGATCCTTTTTTACTGAGGGTAAAGCATAACTATAATTTGTCTGCAGTAGTTTGTTGTAATTCTCGAGTTATAAAAGATAATGCTCTAGAAATCTTAAAAGTGATGCGTTTCAATCTTTTGAACTTAAGGATACCCTCTTACACAAATTTTAATGTGACCTAAAATGGACTTTTAAGATTTTATAGAATACAATCTTTAACTTCTAGGCAAAAGAAAAACAGAATGCAAAGAAAGCGCAGGAAACCAAATGAAGAAGATGCTTTGGGATGTGTCCACATTTCTGCTTCTGCACTTATTTTCATGGAAACCATTAAGTATAAAGAACTTTGAGCAACATCCTAATTGACTCAATGCACGTTTGGCGTAGTACCAGTCTGTCTTGTCTTTAATGCATGGATTCCTTCCCTACCTGCATCATGTGCATGTGGTGCATATTAAATAAAAGTGATGTTGAGAGTGCTTGCCCAAATCCCATTATTTGACATTGGATCTGAGAACTTCTGTTGGTTCTCTGGATATATACTATCACAATGAACCTAGAAATTGCACAAATGATATTCTCTACCTGTAATTGTTAAAATTAATCTTAGTTCAGTTACAAGCTTAAAATTTATGAATGTCAGATCTTGATTAAACTGGATCTCTTGTTTTCTCTTCATCATGAAAAGAAAATTGGTATATGTCTTTGATATCTAAACATTTTGAGGATTTTAAAGCTGAATTTTATCTTGAGAAAGTATGGTTTTAATGCAGACCATTTGAAAAAGACAAAAGTATAGTTTTTAGTGATTTTCATTGCTGCCAGTAGAAAAAGTAATAAACGTCCAAATTATTTTAGCAGACTTTCTTTAAGTGTTTGGGGTTATTTATTTATGTATTATAGAATTATTTTAGGAAGGTGTGAGTATTATTCTTCAAAACAGAATTTCAGATTAAGAACAAATGATAAATTTTCAAGACTTTCGGTGTTGCTCTCAGTTTGGCAACATTTTTCAAACTGCTAAGCTGTATGTATCTATAAGAAAATCAGAGGTTTGACAATTCAGGCTATCTGCTTTTTAAAAAAATATGATGTCATGGTGGAGGATCCTTCTATGGCAATTTGAATGAAATTGGTGTAGCCAGTAGTTACCAAGAACCATGTATAGTTAGCTGACAATGGATTTTTTAAAATTGCTTTTGGGATTTGCTTTGTTTTTGATTCTATGAAATAATTGTATTCTTGCTCCTAATCTTTTCCAAGTTAAACTTTAAAGGAGATTTTATAAAACTTCTTTTTATAAAGGCAATTATCTACTTTTTTTTTTTTCTAGATACGTTTCTGAAATTGATACATGACTTTTTAACATTTTATTATGGAAAAGTTTAAACATATGTAGGGGGACTGTGTATTCATCTTCTAGCTTCAAACACATGAGTTTTTTAAGGATTGTTTTAAAACTTAACTACATTGTGGTATTATTAAAAAACTAATGTGAGAAAATCTGGTGGGAAATTGAGTAGAAAAGTTAATGAATATTTTTCATACATAATTTCAGTTGAAGGTAATAAAGAAGAATTTGTAGTTTCTCATTTGTTTGTGGGTAAATGTATTTTGCTCTGGATACAATAGTAATTACGGAGTGTTTTCAAAACCATGATACAATTTTTAAAAATGATTTCATAAGGATTATTTTAGGCTCGTCTTGAGATCATTCAATTATTTCAACTTAATTTATATATCCTGGTTTTTTTGTATTTAAGATATTTTAAGTAATCTCTACACCCAATGTGGGGCTTGAACTCATAACCCCAAGATCAAAAGTCGCATGCTCTCCTGACTGAGCCAGCCAGGTGCCCTTATATATCCTGTTTTATAGAAGCCCAAATTTTGTAAAGCAATACAAGGAATATTGTAGTCAGTAGTATCCATTAATCAAGACAGTGTGATTCTAGCATAAAGATTAACAGTTAAATCAGTGGAATACAAGAGAGAGCCTATAAACAAATCCACATTTATATGGTTACTTGATTTTTGACAAAGGTAGCAAAGCAATCTGACAGACAAGGAAAGTCTTTTCAATAGATGAGGCCAAAACAGCTAAACATCCATGTGGAAAAAAATGAACCAAGACGCCCCTCCCCCATTCTTCACAAAAATGAATTTGAGATGGATCATAGGCCTTCGTGTACTAGTTAAAATACAAAGGTTTTTAGGGGTAAACATGGGTGAATATATCTTTGTGACTTGAGGATAGCCACAGGTTTCTTAGGTCACAGAAAACAATAACCATAAAAGATCCAAAATCAGTGTTTATAGGAATTAAAAACTTGTCATTGAAAGATGCTTTTAACAAGAGTGACTAGTATCAAATGATATTTAAAAATAGCTTTATAAAACTGTGTTAATAGGTATAAGGATATTTTCTTATTAATCTAATTCTAATAAAATTCTTTGATAGGAACTTCCATAGCTTAAGAACGATTTATTTTATCTGCTTCTTTGATGACTGTAAATGCTTTGTGATCTGATCCTTCATGGTAATGTCTGCCAGTGAATAAAGAAATATGACTTGCCTTTGTCTGGGTCTTAAGTCATGAAGCTGGTGAGTAGAGAAAATGGACAAATAAAGAGCAATCCAGAAATATATAAATGTTACTTAATGTGGAAAAAAATTTTTTAAAAAGTATTTAAAGTCTTCTTTGTTCATTTCACTTTTGCCCTTTCTTTTCTAAAATCTCATTTAATGCTTCAGTAGGTGAAAGCACTTCCATTCTGTTGTGTGCCTTTTAAAATAGCTAGCCAACTGTAAGCAATATACTTTTGCTATTATAAACAAAGAAAGCTTGCCAACAGCTGCGGTACTGGGTAGTCTCACCTCATATGTTTAGTTCCCAAGATAGCTGCCCTTTTTCTAGCAGAGAGCAGTCAGCTTGACTGTGCCACTAGAATAGACAAATATTTGTTCTGAGATCATGAACCATTGGGACTTGCTCCCCTCTTTAGACCATGATCCATACTTCAGTGTGTATATGGTGTTACATGCAGATTAATAACTTTAGTTAACCTAGTTGCCTAAAACATTTCAAGATGTGTTCAGAAATTACTCCGTTTTTTTCCTTCTCTACAAGAAGATTTTGTGCCTTTTGAGGAAAAACAATGGCTTTTAAGGTTTTTCCTTTAAAAAAAATTCAAGAAAGATAAGCAAAAATACAATTTAAATCACCCATAGTTCTACCATCAGGGATGCCTACATTGACATTTTAGTGTGATCCTTTTTCCCCATATGTGTGCATGTTTTTGTGTGTTAGTCTTGCATGTCCTCCCTGTATTCCAAAATAGATTGATGTCGTATAAATTATTTTTATTTTTTTAACTTAAATTTTAGCCAACATGCCAGTACAATATGTGTTTCAGGAGTAGAGTTCAGTATAAATTATTTTTAGAGCAGATGATATGCAGTTTATCATTTTTGTATCACAACTTACTTGCAGGAAACAGGCCACTCCAGCTATTTGAAGAGGAATGGGGAGTATACTGGGAATTTTGAAACTACTTAGTTTCTTATAAAGTCATTGGAAGGTATGGAGGAACAGGCTCAAGTTTGGGTCTCCAGAAAGGACTCCTAGCAAAACATCTATTCCTCGCCCATATCGGGGGAACTGCTGCATCCGCAGCAGTCCAGGGGGTTCACGATTGGAGTCGCTGATGATAGGACGTGCTGTGGGAGCTGTGGTCCGGCAATGAGGAATGTGGTGCAGCTGTGTGTTGTCACCGAGTGACTAGACACTGGAACTGGAGAAAAATTCAACCTCTCCACGGCTAAGGATGCCACTCAGAATAGGTAAAGCACCAGGTCGGATGGCCTCTGCCTTACTTTTAACTTTCTGCAAGGGAATCTAGGAAATTAGTTTTTAGCTCTCCAGGCTCTGCAGAGTAGGAAGGCATTCTAGGAGGAGGCTGGTAAATCCACTAAAACACACATTATTACATTCTTATACAGTAACAATTTTTCTTTTTACTGAAGTGAGATGTTTATTTTGGAGAAATGAGAAAATGTTAAGAAAAAAATGGTGAAAATCAAAGTCTAATCCTGTTACCCAGAGATAATCAGCACTATTACACTCACATGTGTAATAATACTTTATTTTTATGAAAGCAGGATTACAATTAAATATTTCATTGCATGCTTTTCTCCCCACAAACCTTTCATGTTGAAAAGTAATGCTTGTATTACATCTTTTTAAAATAGCTGCTTAGTATTCCATTATGTAGGTATGCTATATTTAACAGGCTTGCAGTAGTGTGGGGTAAAGCATAGAAATAAAATGGGCAAACTGGATAGTTTGATTTTGGGGGGAGGAATTTAGTTTTTAAACTGATATGAATTCCTAGATCAGTCAAACATGCAGGTTCTTCAGTTTGTTCTTTTCCTTAGCTCGTGGGTAATTGGCCTAAATCTAGTGACTGATAGGTGACGGATTCACCACTTCTAGCATACTAGTACTTCTTTTTATTTTTGACTTGATTATATTAATGTCTTGAGAACTTTCTTTGATAATGTATTCAACATATATCTGAGTTGTTCTAGATGCTGAAGATGTATTGGCGAACAAGATCAAGCCCCTGCCCTTGTGGTGAGACAGGTAATAGGCAAGCCTACTACTACAGGTAGTAGTAAGAACTATAAGAAAAAAAAAAAAACCCTGTAAAAACTAAAAAACTATAAAAAAAGACAAAAAAAACCCCAAAACTGTAAATAAAGCAGCTCAAAAGAATGGAGGGAGCTGAGGTTTAATGGGATGGCCGTGGAAAATGCCTTTGAAGAGATGACATTTAAACAGAGATCTAAATGAAGAGCATTTTCTCTGTAGTACTGACTCAGCACTATGAAAGAGGATTTCATACAACCAACATGCAATAATTTTGAATATTAATTTTTAATAATGTGTGATAGTTAACTGGTTTATAAAAGTTGATTTGTGATGATTGATTTGATTTTCAATATGAAAATAGGTTGAATAAAAATTGCATATAGAAAAGGCTAGGACCACTGGCCTATGTGCTTTTTTAGGCTATCCAGATATTCCCCATAATAAACTTATGTGACACTTTCTTGTAGCATTGTAGTATAATATTACATAAGCCATAAAACCAGTGGGAAAAGTCTCATGCAAGTGTATTTTAAAAACAATTTGATATATACCATGGTTAAAGAAGTAAACATGAAAACTAAAACACTGAAGTTTTTAGAAAAAATATGGGGTAATATTTTATTTGGGGATAGAGAAAAGCTTCCTAAGCAAGAAATAAAACATAAAATCCAGAAGAGAAATACTTGACTGTATAGAAGTTTCTATACACAAAAACTTA